CCCAAAAAAAGCAGCGACGGGAAGAGGAGGGGAGGAAAAAAAAAAAAAAAAAAAAAGAGAGAAGGGGGGGTAGATCTATCTGGATCAGGACGAGGACACCTCGGATTCACTCGGCGCGGAGGAGAGAGGCAGATCCAGGAGGCTCGACCCAGCTCGGGATAATCCAGGCGCGGCGCCCCCTCCCCGGGGGCAGCGCCGCTCCGGGGCCCCGCTCCGGCCGCCGCGCACCGCCGGGGGGGCCGCCGCCGCCGCCGCGCTCGCCGCCCAACTTTCTTGCCGCGGAGCGAGCGAGACAATCCCTGGGCAGCCCCCGCCGCCCGCCGCCGCCGCCGCCGCCGCCGCCGCCGCCCGCCGCCGACCCCTCCTCGCCGGGCGCCGCCGGCGGCTCGCAGCCCCCCGCCGGCGCGGCGCGGCGCCCCCGCCGCCGCCGCCCGCTGCCGGATGGCGCTCGCCCGCCCGCCCCAGCCCGGCCGCCCGCGGCGCGGCGCAGCCCCGGCCCCCAGAAGCCGCTCAGTCGGCGCTGCCCGGATGCCGCCCCATTCTCCCCGAGCTGGGACGCGGCGCTAGCACCGCCCGGCCGGCCGCGCATGAGCAGGGCTGCCAGCTGCGCGTCATTCCCCGGCGCAGGCCCGGCCGTGCCCCCGGCCCCCCCTCCTTCCCCCTCCTTCTCCTCCTCCTCCTTCCCGCCCCGCCGCCGCCTCGCCTCCTCTCAGCCCGGGCCGGGGGCGCAGCCGCCCGCCCTCGCCCTCGGGAAAAGTTTCTCCCGGCCCCGGGACCCCCCTGCCCCGCTCTCGGGCGGCGGGGCCGGGTGAGCCCCGGGGGATGGAGCGGGGGCACCGCCGGCTGCCCCGCGGGGCGGGAGAGGGGCTGGTCCGGGTGGAGGGGCGAGGGCAGGGGCCGGGGGCGAGGAGCGAGCGGTGGGACCAGGGATGAGCTGTGGGATGGGCTGGGATTGAAACGCTGAGCCGAGGGGCGAGGAGTGAGCAGAGGGACAGGCTGGGGGTCAGAGGGTGACCCAAGGACAGGGAACGAGCTGCGGGATGAGGGTTAAACGATGAACTGAGGTGTGAGGGGTGGGCTGAGGGACGAGTTGGGGGTTCAGGGGGAGACAGGAAGAGCTGAGGGACGTAGCAAAAGCTAGGAACGAGCCGGGGAGCAATCTATGGGTCAGGGGCCAAGTTGGGGGACAATCAGGGGATGAGTTGGTGATGAGAGTGCAGAGCAGTGGGGCTGAGCAGCCAGAGCTATAGGTGGGACATGGAGCAGTGTAAGGCAACCAAGGGTTAAGACTCATGGAGGTGGAGGCAGGAGACCCTGTTCAGTACCCCCTGCTCACCATCCATCCATCTCACTGAGGTTTCATTTGGGCTCCCCAATGCAGGAAGGGACTGTAGTTTCCTTCTTGTTTCCCTGCATTTTCAGGCTCTTTCCTCTCTCCAGGGTCACCTCAGCCAATACTTGGTTCCTGGGCACTCACCTGGGACAGGGGCCAGCTTGGTGGCCAGCCAAGTAGCTGTGCAGTGCCCAGTCCCAGGGGCAGCACCGAGGAAGGTGTGCCAGGATCAGGGCCCCAGCACTGAGCACTGACCATCCTACGTATCACAATGGTAGCAGGACTTAATCCTCCCGTTATCATCTTTTATTGCACACAGTCAGATATTGCAGCATGTTACCATCACTTCTGGGTACTCCCTTCCTTGTGTGGGGCTGGCTTTGCTCCATTGGACTAACTTGGCTTAATTTCTTATGTCTTCAGCTGCTCTCTCCTTCCCTGGGGAGTAGCCTCCAGTTCTGGATGTGAGAGACGTTAGAAGGATGTTGTGAAATAAAACCTAAAGAAGTCCACCGAGATTCATCAATAAAGGAAGGAATCCATGGAGGAGGTTCAGTGTTGCTGGGAGCTGTGGAAGTGAGGGAAGCCAAAAAGTCTCCTGCCACCTGCTCCCACACTTATGTTGCAGTTCAGTCCACCAGGGATGGTGGCTTCCTCGGGCTGGTGCCTCCAGCAGTGGCAGGCTGGAGTGGTGTCTAACACACCCGTCAAAGGCTTTGGCATGGGCACTTCAGTGTCCACCTTTCCTCTGTTTTTCCATGTTCCTGATCTAATTGCACCAACAGAGCAGTCAAAAATTAACCTCCTTCCACCTGGCCCAAACAGGCTCTTTTAGAAGAGTTTCTGGTGTCTGGCAGCAGCTTTGCCCTACCTTACATAGACAAGTGCTAAAATAAATATCATCCTCTTAAAATGTAGCATAGAAACGTCATTTAAATTTAAGCCATTTAAAACCAAAGGTAGAAATCCCATGTGTGGTGCAAAGCCTCTTAATGCAAATAGTCAGTCATGCATTGCATGCCTCAATCACACTCGTATCGGTGTCATTTGTGTCCTAATAAAATCCTATAATCTTTTGCGTGCCAATTAAAGAAGGAAGATAGCTAAGTCTAGCTGCTTCCTCGGGTAATTACAGGCTAGCAGGGAGTCAGGCAGTTATCTGCCCTGGGTTTGCTGGACTGGGGATTACCAAAGGGTATTTTCTCTCCTGTTTTTCTAAGGGACAGTACAATGTTTTTTTTAACTGTATGGTGTTTTAAAGGCATAACCAGGATCCAGGCAATGGTTGTTAATGAAAGATCTAGAGTTCAGATACACCCAGTTAAACAATGGATTGAGCTTAACAATTGTATTTGCTTTACCAATATTTTAAGAGTCACTTTTCAGAAAGAAGCGTTTATATTGAGTTCAGTAAGTTATTTTTACATTTGAGCCTGTCCTTTAATTTAAAAGGTAATTTCTATGTTTCTTATAAGTAAATCACAAGGGTAAATCATTAAAAAACTGTGGCGTTTTTAATAATTTCTCTTGGTAATGCTCATCTCGGTCCCATTGTGCTTTAGGCCCTCCATCATTAATATGCATTTCTAGTTCTCTTTTTTTCATTCACTTCCAAATTTGCTGACCAACAAGGACAGTGGAAATTGCCTGTAAAGTGCCTTTCTTTATTTCCCATCAGCAGGGTCATCAAGATTCTCATCCCGCTTAGGTGTTTACGTACAGGACTTTAATGTCACTGTGAACATAAACCAAAGGTGCCTTCTGGGGAAAGTTGTGAATACTATTATTTTTTTGAATCAACTCCACAAATTCATCAGCGCTGTGATTGTCCATAGCTATCCTCATTTTTGTATACATATGTATATTTCATTTCAAGATTCGGCAGAGGGGTCATCCAAAGGAATTAACAAAATCAAGCAGTCCACGTGGGAAAGGATGCCTCTGCTTGGAACAGCATCTCGGAATCAATCATGCCTTTCCTTCCATCGAGGCAATTTCACGTTTTCAATAGAAGGCAGACCTGCAGTGGGTTTTTCCCCCCCCCAGCATCAAATGGCATTCCACACAATGATATTCATCATGTTATAACTCTAGGTGAATGATAATGGATCAGAGGGAATGAAAACAGATGGATGTTAAAACAGACAATTCCCCGCCACAAACCTGGGAGCCCTCCTCTGCTGCCTAGTCCATTCATTCAGTGGATAATTGTATTAGACATTCCAACAATAGAGAGGCCTTCTTCATTAATCCTGAATTTACTGAAAAGAAGCTTTGCAGACTATAGCTCTTTTGGTGCTTAGACAACACCGGGCAAAATTTACCGCAGGCTTAAATGTCTAAAACTCAGCTAGATAGGAACTAGCACAGAAAATTCCAAAAGCAGGAGAGGTGGGTGGGTGAGAGAGCAGGGCACAGGACAGCCCAGCAGCAGCGCTGCAGGTGGGCAGGAGACACTCGAGTGCCTTTGCTGCAGCTCAGGTGACTCCAGGGAAGTGTATCGGAAAGCTCTCCTCTCGCTGGAGTGCAGGCGCAGCTGAACTTATCAATATTGTGCCTGGGTTTGATCTGATTGTCCCTTTCCAGCCTCCAGCTCACCACATGAGCCAGTGAATGCCAATCCCTGCCATGTGATGGGGCACAACCGTTCCCTAACCCTGGTGTGCATCAGGTGACCGGGGCTAAGCAATACAGATCAAGTCTCTTACCAGCTGTCCTGTGAGTCAGACCCTTGATTACAATATTGACATTAACATTTTAATCACATGCATGCTGCTGCAGATTTTAATGACCGAGTTGCTGTGCCTTTGCTTTTTGAGGATCAGAAATTAGACCCTTGTTCGTAGCTGGAGCGAGCGCGGCATCAGAGCAGCAGCTTCCATAGCAGTAAACATGGCACTGCTCTTGCCACGAGCCTGCCCCTGGACATTAACCTTGCTGGCACTGAACACCTCACTGGAATGGGGACTTTGTTCTCCTTTACTGTGTTCCTGTGTCTGGGGCAGGACTGGAAGTTGTGAAAAGAGGAGAAAGGCGGTGCTTTCGTGTTCTCCGTAGCCTGAGGCGATGTGAAAATCTACCCAATCCCTGCGTAACTGTCATTTTCGATTCCCAGGTACTTTAATCAGGGCAGAGTAAGCCAGGGACATTTCCTTCATCCTGTACCTTTCTGTACCTTTTCTGCCCTGTACCATCAGAGATAGGCGAAAACTTCAGGGCAAATGAGAATCAGCCCCTGAATTTGCATTGTTCCTCTCACCCCAAACGTACTCCACAATCTGTTGCAAATGCTGCAAGCTGAGTCTGCAAGGCTTTGCTCTGTTAAAGACTGTCATGTCCAAGGTGGAAGGACAAGCAAAAGGTCAGAATAAATAAACTGAATACAGAATTGCTTAAGGCAATAAAAAGAGACCACAGGCTTTCATTGCAGCTCGGACATGCACCAGAACACACTTTAGGACATTAAATAAGCTGGTTTGTGTGTCACTGAGCTTAGTTGTTTTCTGTTGTTTCTCCCCCTGCTACCCCAATACTTTTCTGAAATGACCAGGCCTTAAATGCTTGGTATCCCTTCCACAAACATGGGCTGCCTTTATCACTTGCTTCATCATGGTCATTTGCACTGAAAATACATAATCACTGTCAGAGTACAAAGAATCATTACGAATAATTAGTTACTTCCAATATGGCAAGTCAGTCTCATAAATCTTGAATATTTGGCTTTGGTTTTGGAAAGAGATTCCTTAATGGCTACACTTGTGAGACTCTGTTAATTGATATAAAATTGTATTCAAAATTAAATTTGTTTTAACAGATCTAAATCACCCCAATAAATCAGCTTCAGCCTATCTGCTCTAAGGGTTCAAGTACACTTTTTTTTTTTTTTTTGCCTTTGGGAGAAAGGGTGCGTTTGCAATCGATGCACGGAGGGCTGGATCTGCCCCTCCCCTCGTTGACTAACTGCTTCCACATGGGGTGATTTTGCTGGTCTGAGAAGTCATAAGGGAGGGGGCAGAGGGTGCAGCCTCCCTCCCCAGCCCAGCAGTGGAGCTCTGGGGCTCTCAGCCCTCCTGCCTGCATCCCAACTCAGCTCACAGCCTCAGCTGTGCTGCAGCCAGGGAGTAAGAAAGGAACTGCCTGTCTCTGTTCCGAGTGGGCAAAGGAGAGGTTATTTTAATGAGAAAGAGAAGGAGTTCAAGTCCATCTGTAATAGTCAGGTATTGAGGGTTTATGTTATTATGGGTAATAGCAGTGTGAATGGTAGTTCTTAGGATGCTTTTTATTTTCTTCAGAGAAACCGTCTTTTTCATCTGATATCACAGGTGAGAGAAGGTGACAGTTAATAACAATAGCTTAATTTTACTTGACTGTGTATACTCAATTTAGCTCCTGAAATTGTTTCAGGACAGGATGTTATTATCTTTATCCTTATTTTAAACCGTAGAAATGGAGCCGCAGAGACAAAAGCCCAGTATTCCTCTCCCATAATGTCTTCAGTAGGCTGTCTTCCTCTCCTAGGCAGTGGTGAGCCCAAATGCTTCCTGAGATTCTGTGTGGTAAAAATCTGTTGGAAGAATTCCCCGTTTTCATCCTGTCTGCTGCTACTGTCTGTTATCTTAAATCTCTCTCTGATTTTTTTTTTCTTCTCCCCCAGAGATTCCTTCTTGCCTACTTCATCTCAGTAAAACTCTCCCCGCCCTTCTCCTGCCTGGGTTGTTGCCTGTATTTTTGCCTGTCTGATCTCCCTCAGGTTCTAGCTGTCGAACTTGTTCCACGTGGGCAGGCTCCGACTCCTGCCTGCAGCCCTGGGAAGTGGGATGCTCCCTGCCCGGGATTTGCATGGCGTGGGGTGGATTTTGGGAGGCTCTGAGCCTCGCAGGGTTTGTGCTGCCTCCTGCTTCCGACTGGTAAAGCCTGAAAACTGCCGTGCCTGTCGTCGGGCCCTGCAGCATAATGATCTCTGGCTGATGCTGTGTCTTGCTTGACTAGGTGTGCTTAAATCCTGTTGGGCTCAGTGATCTATTTAACGATTCTTTTACTTGCTTTTAGAACGTTGCTGGTGCATAGCCTCCATCTCCAGTGCTCAGGGTGTCGTGTGGTGGAGGGTGTTTAGGGGTGAATAAAAGTGAAAATCTTCTCAATCAGCTTTATTAGGTGCAACTGTTACAAATGTTGGAAATTTTCCTTGGATAGAAATTGCTTCTGTTTCCAAGTGTCTTGTAGGCTGTGCTCAATTTACTATTAAATCTGTTAAAGTAACACAGCTCATTTTAATCCCTCAATGTATATTATCAATCAGCTAATACTTCAAAGGAGAAAAATAATTGAAAAAAAAAAAACTAGGCAAACAACAAAATCCTCACCTACCCACTCTGGGAAACCTGAAGATTAGGACTGTAAATATATTTTCTGTTCTAAGTTTGGAAAGTGAGGGAAAAGCTAGTGAAAACTAACTCAGAGAAGATATATTTGGCAGTCTACAACTTGCAGAGCTCTCCTAATAAAGGCTGGCGGGGTGTGCAAATGGAATTTAATACATGGTCATGATAAACAGGTGCTAAAACATTTCTGCAGTGTTTCTTCCATTAATATTTTGTCTCTTTAAAGCAACCATCAGGAAGATGTGTCATCTTAATTACAGTATCTGGAAGCAAGGACTGTACTAGTAGCTGTGTAACTTGCTAATAAAGGCTTGCCTGCAGTGGGGATTTTTGGTCTCTCTGTACCAGCAGCAGGCTGAGCACTAACATAGGCTGCCAAAATCACAGTGATGCATAATTTACACTGGGTCAAGTTACCCTTCATGGCAAGTAGATGAGCTGGACAAGTGTTAAACAGGGCTTCACCCTCACTGCTGTCTATGCTTACAATGGGAAATTTATTCTCAGAATGGACAAGGCTTAACAAATTACTGCATGATTGCATGTCTTAGTGTCTCTGGGTGGTTCGGACCAGCTTTGCACGAGCCAAATCAGAAGTGGATTCAAAGCTAGTTAGGAGACTGTAATAGTCAAAAACGTGACTGCCTGGAATGACTTGGCAAAGAGAAAAGCAGAATGGAAGCTAAATAAAAAGCAAACAGGAAAGGTGGGAATGGATCGCTCTCTGTTAAGAGTGAGTGTGTAATAAGGACTGAATTATTCTTAACACAGAGGATTATTTTTCACATGCACCTCATGCTATTGCTAATCTTTTGTTTTTCTTCATCTGATTCACTGATTTAATTTTGCTTCTGCAAAAGAGGCAAGGAGCCTCAATTAATTGAGGGGGCTGTGAGGGCCTTTGGAAGGGGATGTATTGAATTTCAGAAAGCATTTTACAAGAAGGTACCCGCCACGGTCTTGTGCTATAGGACTTCCTTTGGAAGCATATATTTCTCCCCCATAAGTCTTTTGAACAGTTTTA